GTTTTAATGGCTGTGGGGTTTGTCTTCCCCTCCTCAGATAAGGCGTCTTGCCGCGACGATCCCTGCCGGTGCCTCGCGTTGGCTGTTGAACAGCGCCGTGGCCGTGTTTGCAGCGAAAGGCCGACAGTCAGAGCCGGAGGGCTGGGAAATGCTGGAGAAAACCACCCAGCAGCGGGGGCAAACGCAGCGGGGGCCGGGGCCTGAGGGCGGCCTTCGCTCCACTCGCCGTTCGGCCTGCGTCGAAAGCCACCCTCGTGCGCTGGCTTTAGCACACCCCAAAAGCAACGTGTGCCTTCTCCCACTCGTCCAGTTCCAGTACGGCCAGTGGAAGTGCCAACACGGGTTTTCAATCTGAGGGGGTCTCTGCAGCGCACAGCTATTACTTGTATCATCATTACTGTGGTTCCCACACATACAGCTTTTGTTTCAGAGTCAACAGTCCTGGCAACTGGATCTGTGCCCGGTGGGTAAAGAGTGTGGTTGTGTCGAGACAGGCAATGACCAAGCAACAGTAATTAAAGATCATTTTCTCAAGCCGTGTGTACAACAGAGCTGACCCTGCGCTGTTTTCATTGCTCATGATCCTTCCTGCCTAGATGCAACAGAAATACCAAAATATTCTACACTGATCCAACAGCAATTTTTTTGTTTGCTTTTGCACAGTATTGTTCTACAGACATAATTTTCTCCTGACTTCACCATTAAGTGATCTTTGAAAAGTTGCTCTGCCTTGTATCTTAAGTTTTCTGTGCCTGTTGGATAAAACAGCGAAACCAGAACTGGGCCTAGACCTAGGAGAGCCACAGACTGTAGTTTCTAGACATATCATGAGCCATGACCCGTCTCATTTTTCACAGCTCAATGACAAACGCGTACGACTTTGCTACATAGCTAATGTATACCACGGCTTTATGTGTGCTAGTGATCATCTTGAGTAACTGCGAGGAAACAGTTATTGCTGCCTGATCAGATTTAGTCTTAGTTGAACTTTTGAGCAACAACAGAGATCAGATTTCAAACTTCTGCCACGTTTTGCACCTGGGACATCAGCAATCTCACCTTCTCTTGAGGAATTGCCTGGGCAGGAAGCCGTCTTATTACAGCCTCTCTTTAAAACCCAAGCACCTTCTGGTTTGGTTTGAAATCACTCATATACGCTTCTGAAGATACGCAGAAATTATAAGACTCATGGTGCTCCACTGTTTGCATTGTGATGGCAGCGTACCAAGAGCAGCACACCAGATGGTACAGACGCAATAAAGTGTCCACCCCCCATCGGCCTACCAAAAAAAACAAAATACACTTACAATCAGTTCAGAATTAACGTTCTCCATTTATTGATCGTCTAGTTTCAATAAGCATTTTCTAGGCATCACAGCTGGAAAGAATTTTAGCATGACAGCTGAAGAACCCTTCTGATTTTTACAGAGATCTTCTCTGATGTATAAGGGGCAGCATGGAGAAATATAAAAAAGGAATTAGGATGGCCATACTACTTTGATATTTACTACAATTCCATGCTTTGCTTTTCCTTCTCCCTTAGTGATGCAGTGTTATCTGGGAAGCAGGCCACCACATGTTGGGGGAAAAAACAGCACAAAAACTCAGCCATAATTACAAGCCTCCAGAGAACTAGAAAAAGTGTAACTGATCATCCAGTACGCTGACAGCCTACATAAACCAAACTAGATACAAGATCTTGCTACAAGTGAAACTGAGTAAGAATGCTGGTTTACTGGATTGTTCAACAAGTATTCTAGTACTACTCGTATGTACTGCATCTCTTCAACGGCGTTCCTATCTTGAGGCTAAGCAGAAATTTCCGGTTGTATTAGTAACCATCGTAGCCAGATCCTTTTCACATGTGGGGCAAGAACAAACAAAAAGCCACCTGCGATCACAGAGAAGTTAAATAGGCCATTTCTATGTCTGCCAGAGGCCTTCTACAACCTGGACGTTTGGCACCAGACCCTTAACTGCGTCTTTCATTAAGTCTTTGGGCATTAGCCATACCTGCAGCTTGTACGTCATAACAGTACCTCACAGCAACACTCCTTCCTTTAGAATATCTGGGTCATGTGGAATCACAAACCATCTGCGTAAGCCAAACAGAAGTGGGTTTATGTTTGAATAATCTATAAAGAGGGGAACCAACACTGCTGTGGAATTGACAGTTCTTCCATACCACTGATGCAAGACCAATGCTTCCAGGCCAGAAGCAGCTCTTCTGGAGAACAAATGAGAAAAATAAAGCTTTAACTATTTTGTGAAGTTTACAGATGAGTCAGTTGTGAACAGTATGTGTTACTTAAGACGACAAAACAGAGAACACTGTTGAACTTGCTGAAAGCAGCAAGTACCAACTACCTTGAATTGCTGCCAGCTCTTTAGAAACACTGTGGAAAGGGAAAAGGAAGGGCAGCCGGGAGGGGGGGGAAGAAGTCCACTGCTAGGTTTAGGAAGAGTAGCTTCTTCCCCATGTTTTGTTTATGGAAAGAATGGCACCGTGCCACTGAGGTTCTGCACAGTCCCAACTCTTCGGTAAGTGAAAAAGGGTAGCCAGCTGATGGGCAAGAAACCTCCTCTCAAGCAATTTTAGACCAGCACTCAAACAGGAACTAAAATCAGCTGGGTACCAATAGCTCTGAAGTACTGCACACATCTGCCTGCCTACCATGAGCAGGCTATCCAATTAAAAGCAAATTTAACTAATGATTTCTCAAAATAATTAGTTACCAAATATGGAAATATGGACATTAAACACATCTATGTTTACCTAAAACACCTGCAGGAAGAAGCAATACCTTTACTTCTAAGTCATCTTACACTTACTAAATGGCTTTTCTGTCTGATATGGCTGTATTGCCACGAATAACCACGATCTCCTTCCACCCCTCAAGAAACCTGTAATATATGCCTTTTAGTATATGCATGTGGCACAGCAACCTGAAACTAAGTGCAGCCAGCTAGCAAATTAGTACTGAAAGCTTCTTAAAAGATGACTCTCTAACGCTGGAACTCTTGATTTATTAGTGGGTTACTCTGTGCTGTGAAAAGCTGTTGTAAACCTGTGACAGAGCAGAGAACAGTCAAGTAGTTGCAAGCTCCTTTATAAAGTTTCTTTGGTAGAAAGCTATTTCAGGTAGGCTTGGAAAACTCTTGTTACCAGATACTCCAAGATTAGTATTTGCTCACTGGAGGGTCAAAGATGGTTACAATAGGAAGAAAAGTGTGTGTTTTGTTTGCTTTTTAATTATTTCAAGATTAAATACAGTATGTCAAATTCAACAAATGTTTGCTGATGTTATGTTGTTGAAGATGTTCAGGTAAGTTCTGCTCCAACTGCAGTTACCCTTCCTATTTAGATACTCAAGACAGCCAGTTTGACACATTATTATTGGAAAAAATTATATTTTGGAAGAACTCACTACAGAAGGTGACAGAATTCCAAAAATCAAATTACATGAAAATATACATCGCAATTTTCTTTGTACATTAGGTGAGGAAAACTCTGAAGTAGAAGGCAAAGAATATGAAGGGCCACAGAAGAGAGAAAAGGGAAAAGGAGGGAAACTATTTTTGATACCAAACCCAGAAGTTAGTCAGCTGAAAGCCTACAGATGTGCATGCTTGAACTCAACCTTGAGAAAAAACAAGCCTCCCACACACACACCCCGCCCCACACACAGGCAATGAAAAAGGCAAAAAAAAAAAATCACCCATAAAAAGCAGCTCATTTCTATCTTGGACTAACTTAGTCAACTGAACTTCCAAATGAAAGCGCTCAAGTCCCTTGGAAGTTAAAAATCCAGCAGGCTGCTCAAGGGTGCTCCACGGCCAGTTTTATTGCTATACCCAATTCAAGATGTGCAATTGGGTTTAAATAAAAGGGGTGGGAAAGAAAAAAAAGCACCTTTGAGACTACAAAGGTCATCATAAAAGAAGACGCAAGTAATTAATAGCAAATCCTTTCAGGGTTTAATTAGGAAAATTTTAAAGTTCTGTTGGGGGAAATAAAAGGGAGCACATTTCCAAAAACCGAAAAAGAGATACTAAACTTTAATAAGCAAGAGATTTTAATTAAGCCTCAGTGGGTCAAAGGAAAATTAAAGTGGGGAAAAAAACCCACAACTTTATCCTAATTGGTTTTAGTTTGACATGCTTCACAAGTTGTTTTTGTTTTTTGTTGGTTTTTTTTTTTAACTGATAGGAAACAATGAATAGGGAGAGAAAAACCTGCTAAAATCTTTAGAATTTACACGATTCTATTCCTAACTACAGACAGCATTATTTGGTACAATGTGTATTTGTGGATGTACATGAACAGTATATATATTATCCGGATCATGTTGTGCTATGTACACATCTTTACAATTCTTCCTGAAGGTTAAAGCAGTTCATTAGATTTCAAAATGCGTAATCATCTTGTGTTGGCACTTGTTAGGCTCTTGTCAGCATTGATAACTGGCATGTTTTATTGCAGCCCAGTTCCAGCCAGTGTTTGCCAACTTGTAACAACAGAAGTCCAGCAATAGGTGGGTAGAGTGCAGGAAAAAAAACAGTGCCATGTTTCTCAATTGGAGACCTACAAAGAAATCACAGTTATTAAAATAAAACCCCTCATCATCCTCAATTATTTTAAAAGATGTTAAATAGTGTTTCAAGCTCAAGGAAGATAATCATTACTTGAACAAGAACTTTACATACCTCTAAACAGAAGATGCATAAATCCAAAATCATCACCTGAGAGAGACTTGAGTTAGTTCAGCATACTGTGTATCCAAGCTCAACTATCAGACTTTCAGGCTCCTGTTACTCACGTTGCTTGTCAAGTGCATAGTGTGTAAATGTTCGATTATTCACACACAGGGCTAAACACGTGTAGATTTATCATTGAAACTTCCGTGCATCACTTACTGTGAATGATGGATGCTGCTTCAACAGCGAAGTGCAGTACAAAATGGCATAGCAGTGCTTCATTAAGCAATAACACCACAGCTACCTAGTCAGACTGTGCTTGTTTGAAACCAGCTATATGGCCCCTTCTCATCGAATTCATTGCCCATCACTTACTTAGGAGGAGTCACCAGGACTTAGAAAAGCTTTTGCCTTCCAAAAAAGCAACACAGCCAATTACTTAAATATTTGTCATGAGCATTGTTTCACTATGGCCAAGTTTAACATGGCAACAGAGCTGAGGTTAGTTAAGGATACTCTGGAGCATTACTCACAGTTACTCCCTTTCTCTAACACAGAAAAAATTGTCAGCTGCATTAACAATTCTTACACTCTAGTTATAGGCAGTTATATAAGACATTCAGTTCTTTTGCTTAGTCTTTTGATCAATATTAAGCATTTTCATGCTTTCTCTATCCTGGAGAAAGTTCCGTTCAATCAAAGCATTTCTGCAGAGAAGAGATACTGCAGTACTAGCTTGTCACAGATGGAGCCTTCCCCCACCCCCACAATTCTTACAGAAGTGTAAGAAAGGAATTCTCTCCTGTACAGCCTTGGTGAAGAAAAACTACCTAGCAGGAGCATTTAGTAAGCTGCTCTAGTTGTTCAGACAGTACAACCCCTTTAAACTATATACAGTGCCATATTTCACCCCCACAAGTTCTGTATGCTGAAGCTAACTAGTACATATGGTTTTGGGCTTCTCCAGCCAAATGGGTCAGAGTAGTTTATTTGCCAAACCAACCATTAAGAAAGGGCAGCTTCAACACAAAGCTCTTGTTTTGCTTTGAAAAGCAAGAGTGGGAAATTATTAGCTAGTTGAGGAAGTTTTTCCTTGGCATACCAAGATTAAGGTGACCAAAGGCCAGGTATTTAAGGGCCACATTTTACTACAGAGCTTTCTACAAGAGCTTACTGTGTTAAAAAAAGAGTCCCATTAAAACTAGGATGGGGTTGTTCAAATTATATTAAGTATCTTGAGTCAGAAGCTCATTTTTAACAGGGTGGCATAAAGTGTAAATATCACATCAGCTACTCTCAGGTCGAAACTTGTCCAGGCTCTCAGATATGCTACAGTTCAGTTTCCAAGCAAAATATGGCTGTTTTTCTGAAGCTATTTCTCAGCCTTCCCCAGTAAAAAAGTTTTTTGGGCTGCTGAAGAGAACACCACCTTTCTTGGTATTATTGATGGGTAGTATCTCAACTTGATCCTTCCTGATATGCTAGTAGACTTTCTATTAAAGTTCCCATAGATACCTGAAGCAATCCTTTCCAAACGGTTCCTAACAACCTCACTGAAGTCTTATTTAAAACCTACATGCAACATGCCACCAACATCCGCAAGATAAACTCTCTCTATATATACACACGTATATGAACTTGAGATAGCAAGACAGGATGCTTAAGATTCAAACAGGTGTTCTTCACAATAATGAACATGAAAGAATGATTATTCCCTCCTATTACAGCTCTAGTAACCCCTAAGCACTATTAATAAAGCAGGATGAGTAGTGATAAAGAGAATTTCAACTTCTGAACAGCATAAATGCAAGAGTACTAGAGAAATTCCCCAATCTTGGCAGAAGGGGCTGTTACTGCATTTGAAAATTCTTTTAGTTTTCAGTATCATATACGGCCAAAGAACTCCACTGAGACCATACAGCTGAGAAGAAAGGTTGGTTGGGGGTTTGGTTTCGGGGGTTTTTTTTTTTTGGTTTGTTGTTTTTTGGAGGTTTTTTGAGAAAAAAAATTAGTTCAGCAACACTTAGGCAGGAAATCCTTAACTCGGGTAACTGGCTTGCCGTTAGAAGGATACTTACCCTGAAAAAAGTGAAGCTACTAGCTGCTGAATAAGTGTCACTCAAAAGCAGTTTCTTGGCTTTTTCTTACACAGCGGGCAACTTTTCTTTTAAATTCTCCATTTCTGTCTTCTCTCCATTCTTTCTGTAATTGAATAGACAGCTTTCAGATGTCAGCCCTATAACAATGGATAGGTTCTAGGAAGACTCTTGGTGTTTTTAGACATTAGCCATCTAGTCAACACATAAGTTTGCTTACAATCATTGAGCTAGTCACTAAAAACCTGTGACATTCAGGACTTTCGAAAGCTTGCTCTGGATTTCTATGCAAGCTGCTCACAAGACAGTGAGGACACAGCCTTTCCCCCTTGGATTTTAGGCATTCTCCAAGACTAACCTGGTGGCTACCAGTATTTCACAATGTCTAGGACAAAATCTATTTACTTCAGCCTGCAAAGTAGCAGCAAACTCAAACTGTAGACCACAAGCTATTGTTACAGGTTAGAGAAGAGGTCTTTAACTGCAGTAATGAAAAAAGGTAAACAGCTACTGTGGAGCCAGTAGTTATTCTGCAATTTTTAGGACAGTTTCAACTCCCTCTCAATCTAGCCAGGACATTCCAGGATAGAAATACAGAAGTCACAGTATTCAGAAGAGGCACAGCAGTGTCCTTAGAAAGAAAACACCTCCTAGTTAGATACGGCTGCAAGATATTGGCTCCATGAGGAAGACTTTAACAGAATACTCAGCACACCTATGGGGATGGTCTCTGTGACAGGTATCTGATCTCAGAACCGCATAGATGAAGAACAAAGATGAACAGGACGATAGGCAAGAGGCAAGTCTGAACCCAGAGATGTACACACCATGGTATCACCAAAACCCACAGGAAAAAGCACAGCCAGTTTTAAGTTTTGTGCCAGCCTATGATGAGCTCAGATGAAAGCATAGGAGCATCATACACTGTGACTAAGGTTGACGTGTTGGGTACTGGCAAGGAAGTGGTGGGAAAATATGAAGAACCCCTTATTTAATGAAATAAGTTCTACAATTCTTAGTTTTTGATATAAGCAATATATTCTTACTGCAGGGGTGGGGGAAGGGGTTAAAAAAAACCCACACTGTTTTACCTGAAGCAACCTAGCATGCAACACCTTTGGCTACTAATTAATTTGTTCTTTTTCAGCAGTTAATACAGCAAGCATTTGGTTCCTTGGACTGGGACATAGGACAGCTTACACAAGATGGCTTAGGGCCAAGAAAAGCATTGAATTTGTGCCCTCCTAGCTTCAGATTCTTAGTTTTTGTTTCTATCTTTTATATTTGTAGTTCTATGAAGCAAGTGTTCAGAATTGAATAGCAAAGTTTCCAATTTGACAGCAATCTCTCCAAAACTCTTATTTTGGGTCATGAACTGTTCTATTTGCTTCTCACAATGTCTATTCAGGCTCCTGTCCCTCATTTTTCTCCCACTCCAAGAGACAGTACTCCAACATGCATAGTTCATTTTTCCAGGAAGTAGGTATATCCCCTGCTCCTATAATGCTGTGACCTGCCTGTAACACCTTATTCTCTAGACTCACTTAAAACTAGAAATTAATGAAAGTATCTCTTAATAACTGCCAAATAATGTTGCCACAGTAAACTCGTACTTTGTAAACCAAGTAGAAGACATCTTGATAGCAGCTCAGAATAAAGCAGATGAGCTGCTGATTCTTCATTATCCCGATGAGTATGTTCTGGTTAATATGAAGAGGATGCAATCTACAATGCAGCGGAGATGCTAAGCTGCTCAAGCAGCAAATTAAGTTTAAACGCTACTTGGAACATCTAATACCACAGTCAGAAAAATAGTTACTAGCACCCAAAGGTTACACCAGTGATGCCTCAGTACTGTCTTCACAGTTGTACTTGGATTTAAGTTTTCGTTCTTTCAAGCTGGGCTAGAAAATGCTGTGTTTCCTTAAGACATTTTCAACCTTTACCCTAAGGTTTTCTATCTAACATCTCTCTGAGGAAGAGAAAAAAAAAAAAAGAAAACACATAGCTCCCAACATGGCTGGCAGAGAGTAGGGCACACTACAGGAAGATCAAAAAGCTTGTGAGATGCTAAGAAGGTGACAAGCATAGCTAAAAGCGTAAGCTTTCTTCAGTGTTAGGTCAGCTACATTCAACATACATCAGTCTAAACTGAGGAATTGTAATTGTACTTTTAGCATTTCATTAATAACTTGCTCCTTCCGGTGATCTCAGGTTTGCCAGCAGAAAAGATCCATGTGTCCTGGGTATTTGTTTCCACCAGTAACGTGACGCAAGAAGGGGAGGTCTGACACTCAAAAGAATGTTAAGTGAGGGAATTCTTCACTAAACTTTTTGTGTTTGTTTTTTTCTTCCCATTAAGTTTGTCCACACGAGACTATTCCCATGATGATTTATCAGCAGAGCTCAACCACCTTTGGAAATACTGCCAGCATAGTAGATCAAAGGCTTCAGGAAACTAAACTCCCACCCACTTTGGGAACGTACAGGTAGCTTGACAGAACAGGTTAACGTGCTTCTAGAAGACTTTGCATCTTCTGATTACCCTTTTCCTCATTACCCCAGTTAAAAGACCTAGAACTTCTGTTTTGTGAGAGGGTATCATGTATTAGTCACTGCTGAACTGCAATTCAAGAGTAATTCAAAGGAAAGTATGTTGGTGTATCTCAGATGAATGGGACCTGAAGTCTGTTCCCCAACTCCCCTCAGAAATGAGAGTTTTTTCCCCTCCCCGCCACAAATAGTTATTAGTCTAACTGCTATTCTGCTCTAAACGCAGCTCTTCCAGAGAGCCGATAGCTGTGTTTATACACCCACGCAGAACAGGCCATGCTCCAGAAACACTATGCCACATAAAACACTTGCATCTCACTTAAGACAGAATCCTTACTGCAGATTCACCCTGGTCTTTGACTATAAACCAGGCCATTCTTCCTCACTCCTTAGCCAGTCATTCTAGTCTGGGACAACACTTCCTCCAGAGTTGAAGGCCAGATGCCCAGTGAAGCTTTCAAGTACGTTCTCAAAGCAGACCTACACAGTCAAACCTACTGCTTTAATCCATGACCCAGGAAGACTGCTGTAGAGAGGTGGATGCAAAAAGTCACAACATAATTATACTGAGGGACCCCACCACATTTTCTCCTTCCATTCAAATCAATAAATCTGTTAACAGCTTATGTAATTTCCAGGACAAAAATTTTACTGCGTTATACTAATAACATACTAGGAACCAAGAAAGTTTCTAGAATGTGTTACAACTGCCATTCAGTTTAGCTGCAGAAGTTAACTGCTACATGTAAATAGCCACGCAGGATTTTACAGCCAGCTTCCTTGAATTTTTTAGGACTAAAAGGAGCTGAAGTTTATCCACTAAGTACCTCTGTGCACAAGTTGCTTACTACAAATAAACGCATTATTGCATAGGAGAAATTAAGCCACTGCCTATGAAATTTGACAGCATCCTTCCCTTGCAGTTTGTAAGAAATCTCCCAGGGCTAACTAGTAATTCTGTTTCAAAACATGACTGCTTTTCCCAACAAAAAGGTAGCCTTAGCCTGTGATATAAAAGGTTCTTCCAAAAGTTATTGTACTGTTTTGTCAAACTAGAAGCAAAATTCCATTGCAAGTTTAGGTTTCTACACGGAAGACAGTTGGCAGACCAAGAAAAATCTTACCGCTGCATCAACGTTAGCAGGAGAATCACCATTGGGATCTGCCAGCATAGAAATAACACTAATCATTATAGTTTCCACTGTGTGAATGGGAAGCCAGCGTTCCTCAGGTTTTTCATAGCCATATTTGTCTTCTCCAGGCTCATGAAGAATTGAAATGCAGACATCGCCATTCTTGTCAACTACAAAATAGAACAAGGCATATTTCAGTAATGACCAACATGCTGGCATTTCTTCAGGATAGTTATGGAACTGTTCATCTTCACTCCAGCTAGTCTGAAAACACGATGGTGAAGACGCTTTACAAAAGAGGAAAGTAATTAACTATTACAGAACTCAATCTGTAATAAATAGGGCTTGGTGGAAGTCTGTTATTATGCCTGGACCTCTGGCAGAGAGGGTACATGGGGAGGAAGAACTTAATTCTAACATCACGTTGCAACTTTCGAGACTATTTAGATAGGTTTCCACTAAAGCTTTTTCTGTTAAGTTCAGCAAACTAGACAGTGACTTTTTTCCACAGCAACAGCTGGATATTACTGCAATATATTGGAATATGATTTAAGCTGCTGGAATTAGAAACTGCCTGACAAGTACTCTGATATTTCCAGAGCTGAAACTGACACAGCATCAAAATAGTCTCTCTGTCCCTTAGGATGGGAGCACTGTGCTCATCTCCTCCCAGCTTTCAACATCCACAACTTCAATAATGACTTTAGAAACTGAAGAGCATTCCTCCTTCCCAGTAAAAACCTTCTTCCACTTTATTTTACCTTCCCATCTATGTCCAGCAGTCCATAAGTAAATGAAACATTAGGAGGAAGTCTTCTTTGGAGGGACTAAAAGATGCTGTTATTTCCTTTCGTGCTTCACTGGAGGAGGACAACCTTGGGCCTTCTATATTGAACTGCCAAGTTAATAATACTAAGATGAAATATTTGACGGTATAACAAGAGGCAGCTATAGAAGTCAAGTTTCTCCTCAGACCAGAATTTTGCACTTAGGGGGGAAAAAAAAAAATTAAAAAAATCCCTGAACAGTTATCAAGAATTCAAGAAGCTACTTTCAGTAGCTTCTGAAAATACTTTAGGAGCAGTCTCTCAGAGCAGCACTATTAAAAACTCTTGCCATGGTTATTACTTCTTTATGAAGTGAAGATGGCAAAGTAAACGCAGAGTTTCATATTTCTAACATGAATAGAAATGTATCCATTTGTCTTCACCGCATTTTAGTTCTTAATTGCAAAAAGAAATTGAAACTTTGACATTTCTTACCATTTGGATGCCAGATTTCTGTGATGAATTTCATTTTTGGCGGCCTCAGTGGATAGTCTTTTGGAAAAGTAAGATGAGCCTTGAAAACACCACCTTCACTGGGGAATCAAAAATATCTTAGTAGAGTTTCTTGTAAGCTTAAGCTGAAGATTGGAACTTACTGATGTATCAAAAGCTCCAAGTCTACCCCTCACACAGCTTAACATCATGTTAGTAATTAACAGTACCATCATTTCCATATGCAATGCAAAGAGTTTCTACATTGAGAAGATCCTTTTACAAGATACTGCCAGTTCCCCAACACTGTATCTTTTTTAGAATAGGGATGATGTTCCAGTGACGAAAAAACCACACACACACACAAAAAAAAAAAAAAAAAAAAAAATCAAAAAAACTGCCAAGGAATTCACCATCTGGAATTACAACCTACATTTTTCCTCCCAGTACATTTATTAACAGCAAAAAAAAAAAAATATTGCCAATAACTTCCCTTCTCAAGTACAGCCCAGTAGATACCTGTTTATTTTCCTCCTTTAGACACCTCAGTCCTAATTTCTTGGTATCAGTCTGCAGCAGTGAGCCTCAGTGAAAAGTTACAGAAAGCTTTATAGTTGTGTCTACAGCATTACTTTGTAAAGAGACTTCCAATTCTACCTTTTCAACATTAAGCTAAAGGGACTCAGACGTGAGTGAGGTGTTGTGCATTAGTTACCCACTAAACTGCAAAACAATAATAAACAAGAGACATCCAGTTTTTATGTGGAGTTACAGGCCCATATTAAACTAAGGTAACAGTTTGGGTTGGTTTGTTTGGTTGGTTTTTTTAAATAACTAGGTTTTTATACCTAGGAATAGTCCCTTTTGAAAAAATGCAAAGGCCTATATTAAATAGAAAGCCTTATAGATGGACTGTTTCGCTAATGTAAGTACTATAACATTTGCCCTGTTACTGTCATTTCTTGTAATAGAAGTCTGTAACAAAATTTGAAATTGCAAAGGCAGAGATTACAAAAACTGGAACATAACCTCCAAAGAAGGTGGCACGAGATGTGCAGTATGACAAGCTACTCCTCGGTAGCCATGCAGACAAAAGAATTGGTGTAGAAGAGACAAAGCTGTTCAGTGCAATTTTTTTCCCCTGTATTTGTAAAGGAGTAGGAGCCAGTATCCAAAGCCCACAGGCTACTGAGAAAATAACAAGTTTTACCACCGCTAACCAAAGATGTGCAATTCTAGCAAGTGTCTCCAAAAAAAACCCAAACCCGAAAAGCACTAGATCTAAGTGACTTGGCTCTTAAAATAAAGCAGCTGAGGGGATCTGAACCCACAGCATTCATTTTCCACAAGTTTTAGAAGAGGCAGGCAGTTTCCAAAAAATCCTTCATCCTGGGAAGGGTTAAGAATTCCAGAAACACTGGCTATTTTAACATCCATACTAGTCAAGATAAAGGAGAGTTAGATTACATTTGTTAAGTCTTTCAAAGTGAAAAAGTTTTTCTTCCCCTTTTTAAAGAAGCAGATCCTAAAGCTACTAGGCTGTATGGCATCCCCCGTTGCCCCTCATCAACTACATATAAATACATCTCTTATAACTGGATACACATTAGAAACCAGCTCATGAAGTACATCTGTCAATTAAGGGAGATCAGTGCTATTTTTAGCACTACTCCTGATAAAGGGGTCTCTGTCAGTAGAGCCATGCACTGAGTCTAAAGTCTTTTTAGGTAAACTCGGAATAAATAAAGTGGGACCAGGAATGAGACTAAAGTTTGAAAACTTTGAACCGCCTGGTTAACTTAAACTATTATGTTCTACTGCCATCGTCAAACAGACTAGGGAGGAAGGATTCAGTATACAGCCACCTTGAAAAGCAGCAACTAGGGACTGGAACGGAAGAGAGCTTCTTATCTAAAAAGCCTCAAAACAAGCTCAGCACCTTATTGAAGTGGGGGAAAAAACGCTATTGCAATTTCTAACATCTAAGAGGAGGTTCAACTAGAAGCAGTAGTTCTTTACTGACAGCATTTATAAAATGGCCATGAGAATATAACGGAGCCACTACAAGACTGTTCAAAAGAGGTCAACAGAAGTTGGAGAATTCATCTCATGCAAGACTTGAGAATCACAATGTAGTGAGCTTAAGGAGAAGCAAAGCAATTCAATTACTGTGCTTAAGTACTTATTCAGAAGTCTGCAGACAGAGGTATACAACAACTTCATGTTGGAACTAAAACTGACCTCAAGTAAATGTCACTAGGCTTATGTATCAGTAATTTACCACTGGAACAGCTTAATGAAGGAGAACAGAGTTCATCTTCAAGAGCTATGCTTTAAACTGACCTCTTCTGGGCATAAAGCCTTTTCCCAGGAGCTAGAGTAGATGATCATATATAACCTCTATGAGAAAGAAATCATTCTCTCAATTAGCCAGAGCTTTTTTTTTTTTAAAAAAAAGACAACCAACCACACTGCATGTGCCAGAGTGCTTCAGGTATATAGCAATGCAAAAACACAGTGAACTTAAATTCCAGGAAAAGAAGTTACTGTATGAACTGCATAGTTTTGTGTTCAAATGTCAGTTAAAGAACCCAGTCCTTCGGATAAAGATATAAGCTTTTTGAAGCCCTCTGTGCAAGGTTTGCCAACAATTCAAATTTGATCAACACTGAGGTACTCTAGGTCACACTTGGAAGTTTTCCCATCTCAAACTGACAGGACTTGAGGCCAATTCTATGGTCTGCTGCAGTTTCCCCAGCTACATCCCTCTTGAATATTTTCCTACAATCACCAGCATGAAGTTGTAATGGTTTAAAATAGTACTATCAGCTAAACTAGAGCCTCACAGCAATAACAGCAAGTAGGGGATTACCTGCCTTACTTAAATGCATAAGGAAACAGAAGCTGCCTCTAAGTATAGGCTATTCTTTCTCATTTCTACACAAGTGCAATGGGATCAGTGTTGCATTTTCCCGGGGGAGCAAAGCAGTTTAGAACTTCCATATAGCAAATTCAGCTATTTAAAGGTATTTCACTAGCAACAGAACAGTATTACCTAACTTACGTCAGTATGAAGATTTAGGTTAACTTCTACTCACTTAGACCAAACTAGAACTAGTAAATCCGAGTTCACTTAAGTTTCTGTATAAGTATCAGTACTTACTATAGTGTATCTGGAGGACCAATAATAAGGACTTCCCATCGATAAAGATCATTGTCATCTATTAAGCCCGCTGAAAAGCCTTCCACTGGATTTTTGTTGAGCTCTGTGTAGGAAAAAGAATTTAAGAGTGACTTTAGGTGTCTATGATACGCATTTGCTGTTTTTGCTCATGCCTCTATACGTGACCAAAAAACCCCATGACTTTCAGTGATTTGGTGGCTACTGATGGACTTATGGCCTGGGTGAGTATCCTCAACTCCCTACCACACACAACAGCAAGCTGCCAGAGCTGAGACCCATAGTCTGACTCAAACTATCTAAGTACATCATGAGCAGAAGGGCCAAAATAACTCAGAACTGTGGGAAATGGTCTCCTAAACTAGATACCAACAGCTGTGTGCGCAAGTCAGAAAACAGATTTTCTACTAATAAAAAAGCCATACTGCTTTATAAGAACGCTGAGGAGCCAGATTAAACTAAAGTCTATCTTTAACTCTAGAAAATGTTAACAGAAGAACAAAGTCACAACATGTTTTTATTTAAAACTAACATCCTATTTCCCTTAAAAGATTTTTTTTCAGAATCTGAAAGCATTTGAGACCTGTGCCCAGTGCATTCTGTAATGATTTACTACATTCTGAACTACTAGAAGAAAGCATAGAAGATAAGCTGTTATGCTGTTTAGGTTTTGGGGTTTTTTCTTTTTTCCCCTTTGTTTCAGTTTTATCCACTAGCGATAAGCAATACAGGATTCTAAGTTTCTAGGCTACTTCATATAGTTACTGCCAGATAGAAGGCTTATCTGGAAATAGCTATGCAGAAGTCAGACCTAGATGCAGACTACACTGAGTTTCTGTTTTCAGCCTGCTCCAGGAAAAAGCGTAAGATTTGGAAATAAACACCTCAAATGAGTTCTGCCTAAATTTCAACTTGGGGTTGCAGGGGAGAGAACGTCTCTTAACCAATAGCTTCAGGTCAAAAACTAATTTAAACACCATATTGATGCCAAATTGAAATTCTTGATCCAGCACTTCCAACACTACATATAAAGTCCTGATGGATCTTGGGTATTTAGGATAGGGGAAGGGGACAAAAAGTTATTCTTTCAACTGGTCAGTAATTTCCAGATTAAATTAGGGATTTTTTTTTATTTTATTTTGTTTTACAATTACTACTGCGCTTATTTTAAACCCTGTCAGACATTATACAGCCCTCATTATTATATTCCACAGTACAGTTAGTCTACATATTCCCTCTTTGTAAACCCAATAGCTGTATTTTGTGTTGATTTCTAGGCATTACAGGCTTAAATTCAGAGGTCCTTATAATGCCCTCAGGTACATGCAGAAGAACTTTAAGTGAGAACCTCATACCTTTGTGGAGAAAAGGCTACGACTAAGTCCAAACTGATTTGCCCATAAGCTTGCAGTCACTGTTTGCCAGTTAAGTTCTTAACTATTTAAAGCATGGTTAAAAATGCAAGAATCAATTCAAGCCCTACACAGAAGAGTCTAAATCCACATGGGAAAAAGAAAGCACTCAGCTCACATGAAGGACCAAGGTCCTGAAGAGGTAGATAGCAGCAATACTGACTTTGTTTGGCCATTAGTAATTCAGAGTCAAATTTATCCACATAGATGACTCAATGCTAAAATCCCAAGAAGTATATTGGAAAGGCTTTTCGTAGAAGCTACTCAGCAGGGGTTTAGTCAACAGATGAGGTCAACCATTCACTCTCCAAGTTGCAGGACTTGGGTATTGAACCAAATTATGTTTTCTCAAGACAATGCCTGAAACAACAGGTAACATCACAGGCTATTTAACCAAGATGCAAGCTTCAAAACCAAAAACTATAGCATGGCCACACCTCCACTAAGCAGACCAGCTTTCACCCTCTGGCATCTATGAAACTTTGTGGAAACAGCTGCATGAGCTTGAGTAACAGTTCTATTTAATTTTAGGTGAAAGGGGCAGAGAGACTAGCTAAGCGTCTCACATGAAGTGAGGACTTCACCAGTGACTTACTACCTCCCTACTACAGACATTCCTCCAGCATCAGATATTAAAAGTTCCACCACATTAGTAGTTGAATATAACCTGCTTTTTCATGCAGGATCTTATAAAAAAAAATTGTCTATTGCTTGTGCAAAAAAAAAAAGCCACCTCTGTTCAGGACACATAAGTCATCCTTTTGGATATTTTGTTAGTATTGTAGTATGGAATATCCAGCATAACAACTACAGAAGTCAACAGTAAGAGTGCAAATATTAAAGTCTTAAGGTGGGATACTCTAAAACTTGAATTTAAGCCTCCAAAACACAAGTTCCCTCATTTCTGCATTTCCACAGGGAGAAAAGGGTTTGTGCCGAGTGCTGTGTAAACTGCTGTAACTCAAGCTGCTCACATTTAGCTTCCTTATTGTTTGCTAGTTATCACTTCTCAGTAAACAAGCCTGTCAGAAGTTAAGACTCTGGAAAATTCAGCATGCTTCTCTATCTAAATATGCCACACTATTTTCGAGTCCAACATATACATTTTCTTCTCTATTTCTTGATTCATGCTATTGCAGTTTCTTTTTACATCTGCCTCAGCCTCCAAATAACTTTTTTTATCCTTAAGTCCTTTGAAACGTTTTTCATGTACTTGTTCCCAACGAAAGCCAGCTCTAAGAGTCTGACTCACACCTAAGACCTTGCAGCACTATATTGCAAGAGATCTTGTGAGAAGGAGTAAGATTGCCACGTGCCAACTCTTGTAATACAGAAAATCTGAACTGTATAAAAGGGACAGCCATTGACAAAAATCTTCAGTTACAGCAGTTATGGAAATTTGCTTAGTGGATGCTGCCCATAAAGCAAATTATGATGTTACGTCTTTTACAGGAGGTGGCATCAGTCTCTGCTTGTAAAAGGTTCTCATTTTCCTTCCATGGTAGCAATACTGAAGCATAGTTCAAATAGCTAGTGCTTGCACAAATACTTTAACTTGAGGTAAAACAATGGATATAAGCTCAGGCACCTTCCCCACTAGAGGTATGTGGAATTACCATAGGCAAGTTAAAATGAGCTTTTCCATCCAGATTATTTATGCTAAACTGAACATCAACTAATGGCTGGTTGGCAGACAAAAAAGGAAGTCTCAGGAAAGTTTTGCACTGGGACATTAAGAACATCCTTGGTTGCTTTACCGTGGATAGGTAAGAGCTGCTACTCATTAAAACTTGAAAATACTGAAGCCTAGGGTTTGTTTGGTTTTGTTTTTTTCCCCTGGATATAGCCAATGCTGCACATCAGAAAAGTTAGCTCGTAGTACCACCTACCTCTTCATGAGTTGAGACTCACACAGTAGTGAAATCCATGCGCCAAAATCCCAAACGAATAGCGGTGCTGCTACGGCAAGAAAGGAGCACACACACCCCCCATGCTCACAGTCACAGGAGTCAGCTGCTAGGCAGAGGGACTTCTGCCCACCAACCAGAGCCCCTGGTGACACTGCGCTCCAGAAAATGAGACACCTGTTCTCTGCGTCTGTCATTTCCTACCAACTACAGCAGTTAACTACTTACAGCCTGAACCAGAGTTTTCCTAGACGAACACATGGATGGCGAGTATGCTTCATAAAGCAAAGGATTCAATTCCCTCCCCCAGCCAGGGAGAGGGAACAAGCCCTTGATGCAGGTCCTCTACAAAGCCCTGTTGAAGAGCTAGCCTACAAGGCCTGGAAAAGCAGGTAAGTCAGACACCTGTGAAGAACTGAATCCCTCCATGTTATTTTTTCCAACACTTAGTTCTCCTTTGCAATTTCTTGTTTAGCTAAAGATATCCTGTACTTTTTAAACATAAATGAGTATATTAACACATTTCCATCATGTCCGTGCCTAAATAAGTGCAATTTACTTGCTACTGTATTACACACTATGGTTTAGTATTTCTGCCAATATTTTCTGCATTTCTGATAGTTTAATATAATAGAAATTTTTCTTCCCAGAGGAAGAGAAAAAAAAAAAAAGTCTTACATTCACTCTAGAAGCAGTTTCAGGTAGAGTCCTTCACAGCTTAAGCAGCAGCTGACAGCCAGAACAGCACACACCTGGACAGCTGCCAAGCAGCAACATACTGGGAAAGAATCCTGTGGCTGCTTATAAATTAAATATTCAGTCCCTTTAATCCCAGTCCTGAATCAATACCTGATTTGGGAGATGGATTATGGGCCTGTAGTCTTCCTCAACAAAGTTGTTTAAGTCCAGAACAGATGTTAATGTCCAACGCCTAGTCTTCCACATGATCTGCCAACACAACTCAGTGCTCCTTCAGCGGTTTAGCTCTTACTAAAGCCGAACTAACTTATCATTGCCTTAAACTTGAGCCAGTACAGTACCATAAGCTGTGCTTCCAGTGTCAGTGTTTAGTTGACACCAAGCTACTGATGTTCCCACACTCACTAAAACTGCCTTCATATAAGCCAAGAGACTTTCACCAATCCAAAAGTAAAACGGCATCAACAAAAATGACTAAGCAGAAACAGCCCTATGGCTACATGTAGCAGCTATGTATGGCATCTAAACTTTTCAGCTTGACGTTTCACCCAGCCAGCCGCTGCACATGAACACTTCAGAGTATTTTAAGCTACACTACAGAACAAAGCTTTCAAAAATAAAAGCTTCTACATTATTTTTAATAGCAGCCTCTTTAGTAAGTTACACAGTGGTTGAGTTTTGTGCAACCAGTGGATTGAGTCCAGCACAAAAACAGAGACCAGACAGCCCAAGTTATAGCTAAGGCTTCTGGAGAAATCATCTAGCTGACTTACACACAGTTCCCAGAACAAGCGGGCCCTATCAGAGGTTTACATTTGCTATACATTAGGCTTACTTTTTCTTGATTTCTTTTTGTGAGTCTCAGCACTAGTCCAGGAGCTTCTAACAACCGTACAGACTGAAAATCCTCATTCTAGACTCTTCTTCTCCGTACCCCAAGCCGTGACTTCCAGTTATATTATTTAACTGAGGTCAGTTATGATTTCCAAGACTTTCCTTTCTGCCTGCATACCTAGCTGTAAGTCTCTGATTCTAGAAGATTAGGGCTGAGATAATGATAAAGTAAC